GTTTAACGCAAACCGAATTTCACGAATTATAGGCACTATTCGTGAACTGACTATGTTTCGCACTAACGCGAACCGACTATACGATGACACTTTGACCGGCACCAAGAATCCGGTTCGAAGGACCATTTATTATGTACGAAAAAGAAACTAATTTGGTCCGGTCTTAGTGTAAGAGAATGAATTTTCTTTATTGCTCGCTTCAATATCCGACAGAGATATAGGAGTGGATGCATACGATTTGCTTGTTTATTTGCAACTAACTGATCTGACTTTTGTGTACTGGTTATATGAGGTGTACAGAGAATAGCTACGAGTAAAACTCTACAAACATCCGAACGTTCGTTCGCCCGATCATTCGGAACGATGATAAGAAAAGATAACAGCGATTTATAGAGATATGTCCCTTCTCTAGTACTGCACGGTTATAGAGTGCATGGGGTTTAAAAGGTAAATTCAATTTTAGCCTATTTCAATTCTGAACATTGTCTAATAAATGTTTTAGGGTATTTTGAGCTCAAAATCTTGCCAGGTATTAATTTTCCTGAATAATACTTTCCAAGCATGTTGCGTATAGTTTGTATAATATGAATAACGTATCATTGAGCAAGATAGCAACGTTTCGTCTTCCCTTAGCAAATCTTGGATTTTTGCACTATGTTCGACATAACTGTCCAATGTGCAGAAGCTTTCGAACTCGGAGAGTTGATTTATTTTGAACTCGATTTCTGCCGTGGTGGGATGAAAATATAATCCATATTCATTGTAGATGGATCCAGTTCGCTAACAATTTAATCTGCTGTAGCCGGTTCATCTCTTATGATTTCGTTGATTTTCCCGTATTGCTTATCCCCTGCGCATTAACTTACCTTAAATTTGTTAAATTTCGGACATGATTTGCAAATCCTCGTTGTCGTCTTCATTGCATTGTGAATTCGCGAAATACGACGGAAGAATTTTCTTCTAGTAGTTTACCAACGTGCTTTGTTTTATGTCCTTTAGAACCACATCCAAGCAGTCGAAACTATTCTTGATGCTGAACTACTTTCGTGTATCCGCTAGTGAAAGGCCTTCATTCTCGGCTGTTTCCAGAATAAAACTGTAACTTCTCTTGACATACTTCAGCTTGAAATGTTTGATGATGCCTTGATCAAGGAGTTGAATCAAATACGTGATCTTTGGTGGCATGTATAGAAGCATTATGCTGGAATTGCTTATGGTGGGTAGCTCCAACGGAGCTTTATCAAGGAGCAGCAAAGCCTTGAAGCTAATGTTCTTGGCTGCGCAAAACTTCTCCAACTGTGGTGAGAAGCAGTCGTTTATACAGTCCTCAAATAATTCTCGGGTCATCCAACCATTCTTGTTGCCAGGGAGATTTACTTTTTGTAAATTTTGCTTTAGATAGAAACATGATTGAGAACCCTTGTTTGATCCCTTTCGGTCCCGGCATTGTTTTCAGATGCTCTGAGACATAAGATCTTTGAAGTTTTTTTTTTTTCTAAAGCTGTTTTGTTTCACCACAGTTGAACACTTATTTAAGGCAATACGGAACACTTTCAATTTCTTTTTTACCATCGATCAAATGGCATCGATTTCTGGCCTCTACACAACGTCCCCTTTCCGGAAATACCCATATTGTAAAGTATTTGACAGATTTTCTTGAACCGATGACCTCCATCTTGGATTTCAAAATGGCATCTGGCATTGGTTTTCAGCCTCTACACGTTATCCCCTTTCCAAAAATACCCATATTGTAGCGTATTTGACAGTTTTTCTTGAACTGATGGCCACCATCCTGGATTTCAGAATGGCGTATGGCATCTATTTCCAGCCTCTACACGTCGTGTCCTTTCCGAAAATACCCATATTGTAGGGTATTTGACAGTTTTTCTTGAATCGATGACCGCCATCTTGGATTTTAAAATGGCGTCCGAAATCGATATACAGCCACTCTACACGTCATCCCTATTCCGTTTCGTGTCCTCACATTGCACAGCAACATCTTATATGGACAAGCTTTCCAGACATAACATATTATGGAAGTTCATGTGCACACTAGCGCTGCGTAGTGAGGGATTTCTTAAATAATATGACAATCATCCGAAAGGACTTGGTCACATGAACAACTTTGCTGAAGACAGCAACGTTCTGTATGGCCAGGTTCTCGAGATACAGTTTATATAGGAAGTTCACATGCACACTAGCGCTGCGTAGTGAGAGAGTTCTGAACTAATTTGAACACCATCCGAAAGGACTTAGTCACTTGAACAACTTTGCTGGAAACAGTAACTTTCTATATGGCCAGGATCATGAAATATTCTATGTTGGACCTATGATCCATATATTATAGCACCCGTCATAAGTAACATAAAAGTGAAGCACCTCTAGCGGCGTAGTTCCCAATTAAACCTGAATCCAATTACACACGCTTGTTGGTCTATCTCAGTACAACAACTTTGTCGAAGACAGTATAGCTCACTATATTGAAACAAATGAGATAATCCACTACAGCCCCTATTAGTGAAAATCCCATAAGCTGTGGGTATCCTTATTCGCGGTACCTTATTCACGCCCCTGTTACCTCGGCAATAAGGATTCCTGACTGTATATCATACTTAAAATCTCCTTCTCTCTCTATCTCCACATCCATAATTTTTTTTTTTTTTTTGTATATTAATTTATTTAATAAGGCTCAACCGAATTAACTTAACAGAGCCGAGGATTCATGGTCACTATACAATACATCTTAAAGCTATAGTCAAAAGGTACAACACAATAAACACTTTATCTTCCGCTATCCAAAAAGCCTCCTCCATCAGAACTGGAGCCGCTTCCAGTAGTTTCATTGTATGGCAAATTGTTGTACGCCAACGAGGGTCAGAGCGCGGCCATTGCAGCAATGGACGCAAAACGTGGTCAGCACTCACACACTCATCACGAAACGGTTGCTTTCCAAAGTCGACGACGCATCGACCGAAAGAACTGCTCATGAAGAACAATGAGGAGGACCATACAATGGTTGCTGCCGAGTAAACAGACGATCGCGTAGCACACATCGAGAGTGGCCTGCTTTTGTCGACAGCCGAGTGAACACTGATCCATAAAATTGTCATCCACTAACTTCGAGAAGACCGCGAGTATTCGGTTGAAATAATTTAACTTTAGATTTAAGACATTACTAATGTAGAATAGAAATGTTAACTTGGCTCTGTAAAGTTTATTCGATTGAGCCTCTACAAATAAAAAAACATATCAAGTATCTGATTTTTTTATGTATTTGTTACTGAAATTTAATCCTCTCTGGATCTATAAATTTCAATGAGTGAACGAAAATAACGTTGTTCACAATATTCTTAGTAAGAATAATTAAATTCCCTGAGTAATGAGATTCCCTAAGACTTTTTGGTATTTTCAGGAAAAATAAAAATCCCTGAGGATTCCTGGTTTTCCACGGTTTTTTCATGTAGTTTCACCCTGGCTAATACCGCGGGTCATAATTTTTCCATTGATTTTTTCGCATTAAAGGTTCATATCATACACAAATGTTTATGATATACTAATCGAATAAGTCTGAAACATGAAAAATTTATTTGGTGTGCCATTAGAACGACTACTTTTCTTCTCTTAGGTAACTTTTTAGTCACTTTTTTTTTTTACAAATATAAGTCACTATTCGGACACTAATTTCTTCAAACATGGTCACTAAAACACTATTTTTGTCAGCATTGATCGCTACCAGCCCTGAAATTGCATGTTGTGAGTACATCTTTATTTTCCTCGATTATAATAGATTATTATGAGCCTTTTAGATGCTTTTCCAGTATATAGCTCACTTTGGACGATTTTATATGAATTGTATGGCAAGAATTTCCAAACCAAAAACATTCGATTATTTGAAGGCTTCCATCGCTTGGTACATATTCCCCGCTTAAGGAATACCGCTATGTTCAATGTGTCTCTACTCCTTTTGATAAAAGTTACACATGAACAAAGTATTCCATCAGAATAGAAAAATGTGATTCATCATATCAACGAAAATGACAACCGTCACTCCTCCAGGACGCTGCAGTCGAAATAATTGAAAACGACCCAACAAGGTCGCATTCCATTTCCTGAATCACACCCCGGAGTGTACCTTTCTATATTCCATGTGGGTCTACTTCAGAACAGCAAGTGAAGAGTGTCTTTTCCCTTTTCTATCCCGGCTTCTGTTACTTGAATAAGGAACGCTTCACAATCAAGCACGACCTACCAGGTGAACAACACTCTGGCAATGTCGTCAAATCTTCACCTTCTTGTAAACAGCGGCATGGCAGCGTATTCATTTTTATGACACCTCATCATCATCATCATCATCATCCTCATCACAAACGCTCTTTTGCTCTGTCTCCCGAATACCTATGCTAACCAACCCACCTGGCTTGGGCGAAATCATCATGTGAGACTGCGAGTGCGAGACTGTCTCGTTCCACCCACCAGCGAAACCCCATCAAATCAAACCACCCACCCACCTTAACCGCCGGGCGAATGTAAGCGCAAAAGAAAATCATAACAAAAACAAAACAAGCTGCTCGAATCGAGCAGCTTGCTGCGAGCAAGCCGGAGAAAATGTAACGGGAAAGAGAGCGAGAGCCAACCGTCGGCGGCACACGTGAGTGAGAGTTTCGTCGACTTTCGAGCGAGCTATGCTCGATGTTGAATCATATGTTTACTGCTGCTGCTGCAAATGCCAAGCATAGTTTATGCTCTCGCGGGGCATTCGTCCGTCACCCACCGAAGGGTTTCCAGTGTTGCTAGTGCACGTTGAATGCCACTCAAACTGCAAGCCATGGTACGCTATGTTTTTAAGGTGAATGTGACTCCAACTGGCAACCGAGTCGATTTTCGTCGAGATTTTCCCTCTTTTTACTCTCACCCACCGTCGGGTCCATTCACAGAAAATGTAGTCGATTGCATGCTGCTCTGGGTCCGTGCATGCTGTTGAGTCCAACTGGTGACGGCAGTCGTATTCCGGCATTTTTGACGGTCGGTCCGTGTTGACGTTCAAACGAGAATCATTCGCGATATTTTCCGTGCGTGCGTGTTTTTCTTCATCCGTACGTGTCCTTTCACGCGAGTCAAGTGATACCGGATCTCTGGAGGCACGTCCAGTCTTGTGAAGTACTGAAGAATTCAGGGTCACCCTTCCGAGGAGGATCTCCGGATGCTAACTGCGTGGTGCTCTTTGGGACGTGACGGCGACGTCGTGCAGCAGTAGTAAGTTGTAAATAAATAATTGCAACTCAAGAGGCGGAGAAAAAAGGAAACTTTCAACGAAAAAAAAAAAAGTGACTGGCGAAGGAGATCCGGTCCGGTCCAGTCCGGTTGGACCTGTTTTTTTTTGCAGTCCTTCGTGTACCGGCACTCTGATAAGGACGGAAGAGAGTTGTTGCCATTAAAAAGTTTCGAGTGCTGAACTGTTGACTGCTCGTCGGTTGAGGCTAAATAATCTAGTAGTCATTTAATGGCCTCAAGGTTTTTGGGCGGTCCAGCTAACTAGATCCGAAGAGCATTGAAGTCACGTTCTAGCAGCGGTTCATGTGACAACATTCGCGTGCGCGACAGTTCCTATGTTTACGTGGGAGTTCGAGTGTTGAGTTTGGTTTGGTTTTTCGGCCCGAGCTGTCTGCTGATTCAACTGTGAAGAACTCGAAGAAAATAATATATGAAAAATAATAATAATTAAAGTGTTTGTGATTTTGTGGGTCTGTCGGTGTCTGGGCCGTTTCATCATCACCGCGCGAGGGTGATTTGGAAATTGTTACCGCCGATGTGGAAATTTCGCCTTCGCTTTTGTGATTCGATTTGGTGATTTTCGATTGTTTCAACTAAGAAGAGACGAGAAGAGAAAGAAGAAAAATCCATGAGCCGATAGAGTGCACCACAAATTGAATGCAGTGAAGTTGTTGAGTTGTTTGGTGAGTTATTTTCAATCTGCTGTGGCGCACCCCCGCTTGCCACTTTCGATTCCGTCGCGGTTGCATTTCGGCAGCCTATGAGCGCTGAGTAATAATCCGCAAAGCGCAGTAGAGGAGCAACATCGAACAACCAGTCTCCAGTCAGTGTGCAGCAACAACGTCAAGTTTTGAAAAACCGGTTTCGCCACCAGCCCCAGTGCTCAGGTTCGCCACGCTGCTGGCTTGTGTGAGTGTGTGACGAGCAGAAAGTGGCCGCTGAAGTCGACGACGACGTTTTCGTCTGATAAACAGAACGGAGGAGAAGCCGGCAGACCGGATTGAACCGGCCTGGCTGCCTACTACACTGCCTGGTCAGTGCGTTTCCCGAGTGGGAGGGAATGAAGCAAAAGTGACCAATTTGTCGCTGGATTTGAAAGGTGAGATCGATTCTAACCAGTTCTAGGATTACATGAAGTCACTATTATTTCTTAAATGTATTATGAAGGAGTCATTCAAACAACGTTCAGCTCTGTCTGTACTCAGCTGGTCGCGTGATTGGCACTCTTCAACCAAAAGTTGGTGACAAGGCTGTTTTTACGGTAGCGTTGAAGGGGGATAAAGTCCCCAGCCAGCAACCATATGAGAGCATTCCCACAATGACGTATTGAATACTGTAATTATTTTTTGCACACCCTCTAAACGCATGCTCGGTTTATACTACCTGGAAAAACTTGAAATCATTAGGGAATTTTGTATTACCTGTAAAACCCAGGAATTCTCAGGAAACTTTCTAAATCTTATATCGACCAAGTTTTTAGAATTAAGTATGCCATAGGGAGAAATTTTAAAATATTTTATAATACCTAAGGGAAATGGCACTCATGTTGGCCTATGGATCTAATATTGGGCCCATCGCTAAAAATCTGCTATTTATCAATTTTATCAACGGTACTAATGGATATTTTTTGTCGCTATTTAAAATTTAGTCGATTACAGAATTTATGTATGGGCCCACATTAGGGGCATTTAGGTCGACATTACATCCATTTCCACTATCTTACTCTAACTCCAGAACTACTATGTTTAAAGAGTGAGGGAGGTCACTGTTTGAACATAATAATTATGGACTGGATTAACGGATTCTGGACTGGAGTAGCTTCTTAATTATTTTTTTTTATTATATTCGTATATTTGGAAGGCTCAATTGCGTTCGCTTTGCGGAGCCGATAGTTCATTGTTCATTGTTTGCCTTGTTACAATGTTCACTTATTTCTATGTCTTGAAGTTGGGCCGAATACCTTCACTTAACCGATGTTCGGGGGTACATTGTCGAAGAATAGGATCAGGGGAGGAGCTTGGGGTGAAGTTTCTCTCATCAGAGCATTGTCGCCAGTATGAACGGTAGTGCGGTTCTAGATTCGTCTGGCATTCGACCGGCAACAAGAATTCTTAAGCTTTAATTGTGTTTTTTTTTCGTGATTCTGGAGCATGGCTTATTTCTACAGATTAGAAATTAATAAAATCAAACTTGGAGAAAATTTCAAGAATCAAGAACGATATATATTCAAACTATGATCAATTCGATGAATTCCAAGAACTCAGATTTCGAATAAATCAAGGGCCTTGCGAAAGTTCCAAAGCGTATGAACTGTTCTGAATAAATATGATGAGAATGTCCAAGTATCTCGAGCAATAATTTCAAGGGAATTCAGAGGAAAATTTTAATGGTCACTTTTTTTGAAGTGGTTTTTGTCAATTTAAAGCTGTAATGATCTTTCGGCGTTGTGAATGTGAGTGCGTGAATATGCAATGAATGAGATTTGATGATACTTTCCCGAACGCTGGGTACTTTAAGTAGAATTCCAAGTGAAGAAAGCGAATGTCTAAAGAATTCAATGAAAATTCTGAGGATAATTCGAAGAGCACTCTTAGAAGTATTTCAAAGAAATTTAGAGGAAATTTTATTCGAAATTTCCAACGAATTGTTGAGATAAATTTCATAGGAATGCTATGGAGAAGGTTGTTCCTGTAATCATCTTTGGGGAACTCATAAAAGAGTTCCCATGGAATTCTGAGGACAATTTCAAGGAATTTGCGGAACCACTCCAAAAGAATTCTGAGCAGAATATAGAGGGGATTCCAAAATTTTTTCCATTGGAATGTTTTAAGAATACAATGTAGCGAATACTGAAAAGAGATATTTTCAGGAGAATTCTGTGGGTAAATTCCTTGTAAATACATCGAGAATTGTTAAGAAATGTATAGGAATTGCAGGATGAATTAAAGAGCTTTCTATGGATAATTTCTAGGGTTATATCGAGAAGGTTGTAATGGGAATATAATTCCAACCGGAATCGTCCGAAGACGTTGACCAGTGTCTGCGTCCCATCGTAGAGGCGATATCCCGAGCCAGGAATCAACACGTGCCAGTATCCAGACAGGTCAGGACTACTCTGAACCTTGACAGATATACCACAGACCTTATAAGACTCCGCAACACTATACGAAGGCTATCCAAAAGATCAATTGCAATCGCCTTACCAAAATTTTCCAAACCAGGATGGTGGATCTCAGAAATAACGAATTTGCTAGTAAGATCCACTCTCTCGCAGATTGTGCTAAGGCGCTCTGAAAACTTACCAAAATTCTCAAAAACAAGCCTAGGCCCACCACTGATATACAGCTGAATCGTTCTGACGATTCAGTGGTTCATCTGATAACCCCTGTAGAGAAGACTGCAGTGATAGGTTAACACTTCATCAGCCCCCATAATCTCGGACATAACCGTATAAGTCCGCACGAGGCTGCGGTTACTGAAAATGCAGCTTACCTCCATCAGATTCCCAACATCTTTCCTAAGGATTTCAAGATCACAGTTGACGAACTGTTGGCCTAGATCAAATCATCCAAAAAAAAAATGAAGGTCCCAGGTTTTGACAACATCCTCAATCTGGAACTGAAAAATTTGAGTTCCAGATTCTTCAACCATTTAGCACTGATTTTCAATCAGTGCCACCAAATTGGCTACTTTCCCTCGGGATGGAAGTCAGGTAAAGTCATACCCATCCGGAAACCTGGGAAGGATCCTTCCTCTCCTTCAAGTTACCAACCCATCAGCCTTCTCCCAGCTGTTCGAAAGGGCAGTTTACAGCCGGCTTCTAACACCTGCAACGTCCACCAACTGACCCAAGTAACAAACATTCTTAGACGGAACAAGGCTGTTTCTAAAACATCTGCTATGGCATTGTTAGACGTTGAAAACGCGTTTTACAATGTCAGGCATGATGGCCTGGTGTACAAGTTGCATCGATGCGGTCTTCCGATCTTCCTCGTGAATATCATACAAAATATCTGTCGGACAGGGTGTTCCAGGTTTCTCCGAATGGCATCCCATCGGATGCCTTTAACATCGGTGTAGGTGTGCCCCAAGGAAGTATCCTTGGGCCCATCCTGTTCAATCTATTCACTTACAGTATTCCAGCTCGCCCTGATGGTGGATCGTTGTCTCTGTTCGCAGACGACACATCCATCGTTTACAGGGGTAGGGTCATCGGAATTCTGACTACCAAACTCCAGATAGGCTCGGATGTCCTGTCTGAGTATTTGAACAGCTGGAAGATCCGTTTCAACGTGGCGAAGACCCAGGTCATAATTGTTCCACACTCAAAATCTCCCAGACTTGTTCCGTCGGAGAATATCAAAATCTGCCTAAACAGCAAAGTGGTGGAATGGTTCAAAGAGGTAGTCTACCTTGGACTGACTCTTGACAGTGGGTTGCATTTCAAGGGTTGACTAAACGAAAACCAAGCGCAACATCTTGATAAGATCATTGTATCCACTTATCAACAGGAAGTCTACCCTGTCCCTGAAAAAGTAAGCTTGCGGTCTACAAGCAAATCATCTTTCCCAAAGTTGAGTACGGTATGCCAATCTGGGGGAGTTGCGTCAAATGCCATCACCTTAAACTCCAAAGGATCCAGAATAACAACCTTAGGATGATCCTAAACAGTCTTTCCCGGACGCGAAATGCTAAGGTCCGGCGCCGGTCTGGTCTTCAGTCTCTTGAAGAGCGAAGAACGGTCTGCTTAGAAAGGTTCAGAGACACCTGTCTGAGATAAGATCATCAGATCATACGTGATCTAGCACGTTAGGTTAAGTTATACTCGTAGTTAGGTAGGTTATCAAATTATTCAATTAAAACGAAACACAACCCCGCAAGGGGTGTTCTGTAAACTAGATTAAAAACGCAAACATTTAATTAGAATATGCAATTAAACAAAGATGAAGAGCCATGTAGGCTAATCAATTGAAATGTTAATTCAGTGTATAATCATAATCAACAGAAACGTAATTTTACCACTGATAAGTCTTTAGTGGGAATGACACTGTTGAAGACTGCACATATTGCAGTCGAAATACGTTTCCGTCATGGATATCAGCATTAAGTGGAATTAAATGGACGATATCCTTTTTTGCTGTTTTATTTAAGCAACCCAAATTCATTCCTTCGCAACAATTACTTTCTATGCCCCAGCCCATTCATAAAATGGCGATATTTTTTCGAGGCAGGGCTTAGAATGTTTTTTTTTATGTCGAGTATGCAAAAAGGAAGGGACTTTGGATGTGAATCTAAATGCATAAATAACTTTTCCAGTGACAGGTACTCTAGTTTGAAGTCTGTGAGAGGGAAATCACAAATCGAGAGTTATCAAAATACATGGCAGGTTGATAGATTGAGCTCGTGAGAGAGAATTTTCGCTCTCAAATTTGAATTTTTAACTCTCTGGAGACTGGTAGTAAAGCGAGTAAAAAATGGACGGGATTTTTTTTTATTTGATTGGTGTACTTTTCAAAATAATGAAAAAGTGTACTACCGCATAAAATCATGGCATGGTGGCAACAGTGTAGAAAGCAAATCAGATCTCAGCATTTAGTGGTACTTAAATATAGAAGGATCAGATCTTAGCCATACTTTCAGATTTGACAATTTTGAACATCTCTCAAGAATATACCAACATTCTATATCGAAGTGTTTTGGTGTAATGGATAATTTTTAAAAAACCTGTGATCTTTGAAATTCAATGTATCCTCAACGAAACATATATTATTTTTTCTCGTGAAGTCTGCTAAACACTTTGGCGTCATGAAAAACTAGCATTTTGAGATATTTGTATTCAAAGCTTTAAAAAATAAATAAAAACAAAATTTGTGGGGTTGTGTACAAGCCACGACCGCATGGTTGACGTAGACTACGTTGAGGTGTTTAGTGAATTTCTCGTGCATTTTTCTTGATATTGATTGATAACACAGTAGAAGTAACTTATTGCCTTATTTTACTCCATTTCCTCTCCTTGACATGTCAATTTCCTCACCCTTATTAGTTATTTTTCTGACTGTTTCTGGACTTTCCGTTAGGGATATTTCCGCATATTAAACA